TGATGTTTTCGAACAGAAAAAATTCACTCTTTATCATCTCCTTCTACTATATGAATGGAGATGTTGTAATATTCGACTTTAAAACCAACAGATTGAAACGAATTGCGAATAGAGTTTCAAGTAACCTCACTATTCATATATAAAAAAAAACCCTGATCTACATTCAAACACGACTGCATTGAGTGCCGGTAGACCATGTCCCATTTTAAAGTCCCTATAACCCCTATAACCTTACTCTTTGATGTTGATTGGCGTTATTAAGGATATATAGACTAGTACCCATAACGGTCCGTGCAAAGGAGTGAAAATGTATACCTACTTTGCTAGCACAGTCAAACCCAGTTCCCAACAGCTTCAATTGGCGTACAAGGACTGGGTCAGGATTACACTTGATTGCTAAAAATTACAAGAATGACATTAGGTAGTTACGTAAGCTTCGCATATATGACTATTTGGTCATCTTCGAACTATTTAGTTGAGTTGCTCATTATTGTCATATGATTTAAGGAAAGCGAGGATGGCCGAGCGGTTAAAACGCCGCTCTATCGCCGCTGTAGTCCTGGCTCGATTCCCGGTCCGGGACTATATGTGATTTGAGCTTAGTGTAGGCTGGTTCTCTTCCTTGCTCCGAGGGTTTTTCTCCTGATACGCTGCTTTTCCTCCCTCAGTCAAAAAATAGCTGTGAGGAGTGTCGTATGCTAAAAACAGTCAATGTTAAGTCTGTCAGTCTCTCCGTTTAGTAGGACACTTGTTTCTACAGCGATTTGAGACGTTATGAAGTTGTTTATTTGTTATTATTATTATTTCTGTGGCTTACTGAAGGAGGGAAAGCAAGCTTAGCGTTTAGCTGCGAGGGACGATGTTATATTTTTGATATTTTGCAATATGTGACAACTTTAAATCAACCTCAGTATCTGGGAATACAATTTGAGAAACACTAGAAGTGACTTTTTCTCAATTTTTGAGTCGAAATATTACAAGCATTCAATTTTGCCACAGGGAGCCACATGCATTCAAGAGTAGCGTCAAGATTCATAGCGATTAACAGAAGTAGTGATACCTTGCCAGAAATAGGAAGTCTAGGACTATGTCTTGTATGATATGAATAAATTATAACTCAGTTACTTTCTGTACTTTTTCTACCAACGTATTTCATTCTTAATCATCAATATCAATAAAAACTCAAATATCAGTATACCATAAAACGGTCTAATTCTTGGAAGAAGTGCACACCACTGTCAAAAATCAACAAGAAGGAACAATTAGTTTATAAATTGTACCCAGGAACATTTGCAATTGACGATTTTGAGTTTGGCCCCGTCCAAAATAAGTCAAAAAGTTTTGTATCCGCAAGTGTCTTTCTTCCGATAAAACTATTTTCGTCCACAGTGTTTCCAAATATTCGATATCACATCTCCAGAGTGAAAATATCTGCATACGATGCTCGAATACATACTTTTTATAAACTATGACTTTATGGAACTGTAAAAAAAAAAAAAAAAAAAAAAAAAAAAAAATCCCGAAACAAAAATCTGTACACTCATGAGTGTGTAGAAGGTAGCCGAGACATACGGAGTAATATCTCGCCATCTTCTGTAAATAATTTTAGATTTACTTGTTGTTCATCTATCTATAGTCTTACCTTATTGTATGTACTTATGGTTCT